CAAGCGATCCCAGCAGCTGCAGCGCCGGAGGAGGGACGGTTCTTTGTAGGTTTTGCGCAGGCCAGTTCGATGCTTGCAAAGCGTGCGACTGTCCAGGTGGTGTCTAAGTTGGGCTCGCCAGTTTTCCAAACTCTGCCTTCCAGGAGACCTCAGACAGCTGCTTTTCTCCGGTCACCGCCCTTCTGTCTGGTGAGTGGATCAACGAATCCTCATGCAGCTGGACAAGCGCAGAGAAGTCCGGGCCCAGGTCATCCTACCGACTTGGGGCTCAGATTTTGTCAGCTGAGGCTCCCGAGGAGTGGAACCGAGTGAGATTGGCAACACGACTGGGAGTGCCAGCCGGACCTGGAGTGGCAGAGTGAGTGGGACTGGCAGCGCGTCTGGGAGCGCCTCTTCTTGAGCTCCGGTTTCAGGAATCACGGCTTCGAGGTGACTAGTCCTTAACGCCGACGCAGCGGTCCGTAGGCTTCGCTCTGGCGCCTGGCGGCTGAGGATCCTGTGGGAGTGGCGCTTTCCACTCGTGGTCACAGCCACGCTTATCGTCGTTGCATCCGCTGGAATGGCACCACTCTCGATGCACTCACCGCAGGGAACACCTATGACTATGTGCATATTTTTGCCAAGACGCAGCTTGTTCCGTCTTCCCAGGCACCAGTGGCCGCCCCTGCCGCCACGGTTTCTGCAGGCGCAGCCGCAGCCCCCGTGTTTGGTGTTGCTGGTGGCTCGGCGGCTGTGGGCGCGACCGCCACTGCTGTAAGCTCCTGGATGTTGGCGCTGATCCAGGCAAGTGAGCCGCAGTCGGGAAATGCAGTTTTGGGAAGGCGGTGACCCTGAAGGTGACGGGCAGCTCAGCTTCTGTCGCCGTTCCCGGTCTGACATTCTATTATGCTTGGAAGCAGCTCGGTGAAATCGCTTAAGGAGTCGACGTGTGGGAACCCCATTTAAAGGGACAGCCCGCAAGGCCAGGCAGCAAGTCGTGTCTGTTGGCTCGTAACCGTCGTGGCCCCTTCTCAGGAATCGCCACTATGTCGAAGCTGTACCTTGGCATTGCGTTGGCTTTGGCTTTGGAGCTTGTTGTGTGGATTTCCGTAGTGACGGGGTGAGCTTTGGGCATCTGAGCTGAGGCGATTTTT